TATATAATATATCATATAATAAGTTCTCCCCTCTCCGGTATAGAATTCAGGTCTCCTGTGTGTCGACATGTCGAACCACCTAACCGCTACGCCACAGACGCCAGTAAATGTGACTTGAACACAATAATTTCTTACCGCTGTAGCGCACTCATATAATGACTTTATGCAGTTGCGAGTGCTGTCAAACACTTACAAAAAAATTACCGCTGCAATTCTTGCGAGCGCAGTAAAACACTTACAAAAAATGGCTGCTGCAATTCCTTTTTCTTCTCCAGACCCCAGTTTCCAAGGACTGACCAGCCACAGACCTCTGTGTCCGAGAACTGACCACCCACAGACCCCGTGCCCGAACATTGACCACCCACAATTCTCCATATCCCGTGTCCGCGGAGTGACCAGACACAATTCTCCACTCCCTCGCCATCTCCGGTGTAGAGGCGCGTCCTGCCAGACTCTCCCTCCCCAAACAAACCTCCTCTCCCTCAGCCGCCACCGCCTCCTCCTACCCCTTCTCCCCCTCCTTCTCCCCCTCCTTCTCCCCCTCCTCCACCTCCTTCTTCTTCTTCTCCTCCTCCTCCTCCTTCACTCCTCCCTCCTACACCCCCTCCTTTTCACGCCCTTCGAAACACCCCCGAAAAAGAGCCGACCTCAACAACAGCAGAGACTGTGGCGACGACGACAAGTTTCACAACTGCAACAACTTCAACAACTCGACGTTTCACAAAAACGACAAGGAACTCACCCCGGGAGATCCCTCGCACTCACAGTACTCACACTCACAGTACTCACACTCACAGTACTCACACTCACACAAAATGTCGGGTGAGAAACAGCCTCCCCGTGAGTACATCGAGATGGGCCCGGGCGGCGCTGCTCCCCCCTTGGAGCCACCGAGCAATGGGCGCCCCGTGGAAGTGAAGCTTGACGACACCCCGGAGAGAGAGTACTGGACGGGCAAGATCGAGTTTGTGCTGGCCTGTGTGGGCCAGTGTATCGGATTCGGCAACGTCTGGCGCTTCCCTTACCTCTGTTACAAGAACGGCGGAGGTGAGTACCATGCTGTGTGGCGATAAATCTGTGTCATGGCGCGGTGGATTCAGGCACTCTTCAAATGTTAGGCATGTGGAGTTATTGGTATCATCTGAAAGCTTAATCATTTGTCTTGCAATATATGAAAAAGAACGCCCATCTATCTTGAAGAGAAGTCGAAATATGTGTGATTGAAGGAGGTGGGAGTAGCACGGTTTTAGAGATTAACGAGAAAATGGCCTCCAAAGTTTGGTGACCTCTAAAGCTTGAGAGTCCTTGAAAACTGAAATGTTGTTACCATTAATCAACGTTTTTCAGTAAAATTCTCATGGAAATGTGTTTTTATATGGACATAAAAGGTGTTCAGACAAAAAAAAAAAAAAAATTCGATAAAAATATCCAAACTGACAAAAAAAATGCCTGTTTCTCCGATTTCTGTATCTTGATGAGTGCCTGATTTCACCACGATGCATCACGTATTTTTTTTATTTGTCTTTTCCTTCCCCCCAACCCTGTCATTCTACCTTTCATTCTATGTATTTTCTAACTTTTCT